AAACTTCAATCTGGATATTTTGTCTGTGAAGATGAACCATTCAGGTGTCTATTTCTGTGCCAGCAGTTTGGACACAACACTTCAAAGTCACTTGCTTTCTTTACAGAAACTTCTCTCCTTTCCAGCAGCCTCCCTCAGAAGGGAGCTGCCCTCAGCACAGCAAAGGGTATGTAGGCCAATAACCTGTTCACAACCCAGATACTGCTGAGAAGGTGGAACAAGAGAGTCAGAACTGGTCTTCGAAGTGCATGTTAATTGCTTAATTCCTCTTTCTTTATCAGCCGTTTCTTCTCTATCTCAGCAAAAGATTCATTAAAGATTGTAAATAAAATGCCATCATAAAGCGACAGAAAAGGATACCTCTCTCAGTGGAGCCACTGTAGCCTGCCTGTAGCGAGGTGCTTTCTGGTTTCACAACAAACAAGATGAACGTGGATGTGGCTGAAAGATTTCAGTCTGTATTGCATCCTTGATTAAGTGTTCTCTGGCACAGAGAAAAAAAATAGATTCAAGAAAAGGTTGCAAATTCAGATACAATTAAGACTTTCCTTGAGATGAATGTGCAAGGTTAGAAACCTCATGGTGAGGTCATGGATGGATCAAGCTTACAAGCTACCTTCATCTGTTTAACCCTTTAGTGGAGCAGCTTGGTGATGGTCTTGAGAGTCCTAGCAGGAGCTTTCAGAAGAAGATAAATCCTCTTTAGGGAACAGTCAGAGGCAGGCAGTAAGCTGGGTTCTGGGCTGAGGAGTGGTTTTGGTTTTCAGACTTCATCTAACGACAAGTAGGACAGATGTTTTCTGGGCTAATGGCTGGGGGTGAAGCTTGCTTTAGCAGTGTTTGTGCTAATAATTGAATGCTAAGAGGTAATTTTAATGGTCTTAGTGCAAGAATGCCACATGAATTCATGAAACATACCACGATGGAGGGAAAAATGCTACCTTGTAGGGGAGTTTTTGGGCTCAGGAGCAAAAGAGAAAGCAGAAAATACCCCATACTGACAATAACCTCGTAGGAGATATGACTTGAGAAACCAGGCATATAACCACGGCCAGAACATGACCTGAATCCAGATACATATTTCTTTATCATAGAAATTAGACTTGTTTCTTTTCCTTTGCAACAGTGTCCAAAGGACAGGCCTCATTCCCCAATTATGTTTCCCTTGCTTTCTACAATCCATTTCTTCTCTCTCTTCACATCTATCTTAAAAGGCAGCCTTTGTCATATCTGCTGACCTTACAGTGATATTCAGTCTATGATGGCCTAATCATTCTGTCTCCTCACTTCTTCTCATTCCCTTGATAGGAAGGGCTTTTTCAGTGAATTGCTGAAATTCAACATTGTCCTCTGCTTTGGGTTATTGCCTGAGCAAGACCAGATCAATAATGGTCTGCACCATATCAATGAAGATGAGAGGGAGTTGCCATATGCAGAGAGGTTCATGACTGACACTTAAAGAAGCTACAACTCTGCCTGGACAGCTCAGGGTGTCAGCATCCTCTACGCCAGTCCTTATGCAAAGAAGAGCAGAAATGATAGTGAAGGATTCATATTTCAAGTAGATTTAAAGAGTACCTGTTTTCAAAGATGGAACATAACTGAACACTCCAGGAGACTGGGAATAATTTGATATTCAGTTTTTCCATAATTGTCTGGTAAAATGATTCTGAGGAAGATGAATGTTGAAAAAGCACAAAAGGGAAAGCATTAACTTCTAATGGTAACTTACTCAGAAAGGTAAGTGCAGGGTGGGCACAAGGACCTTCGAAAGGTGTGTTACTGGCCCCTGGAGCCTCAGGCTGTGCCAAGAAAACATGGTCTTGCACAAAAGCTACCCTTGACCCTCCTGAGCAGAGCTCTGCTTCTTTCAGCTGGAACTCCATGTCCTCACTGAAGGTAAGGACCTTAGACGACTTCCTGATCAATTTAGGCTATTTATCTCCTGTTAATTGTGGAAGATTACTGAAGTCTACTCAAAATTTTTATCTCAAATCACAAAGACAATACATGTCAAGTTCCTAAGAAACTCTGGGTTAATCAAATGTTTTTTATTGATTTTTGCCAATATATCTGACAACTTTTGTTCATTTTTTCAAAAATGGAATCTACTGGAAAATATAGACTTGCTTTCTTCTCCCTGAGAGAGTATTCCAAGATCTGCATTTTCAGGGATATATGGAATGTGATTCATCCACCTCAGTCTAAGGAATGCTGGTCAGCAAGAAATAAAAAAAAAAAAAAGCCACTTTAGCTGGTTATGCCAAGTATTTTCTGGAAACAAAATATCAAAAGGTAAAATAAAACACACATGGGCAAATCAAAAGACTATTGTCATATAAGACAATACTCTGCCTAACAGAATAAAAAAACTTCCCCCTCAGCAGGTTTGAAACTTCCTCTGTGTTTTCAACAGACACACCTCAAACAAAGGGTTTGTTTGACATTTCTTGCAGGAAGGAGTTTGGTTTTCAGCATAGCTTTAGCTGTTACAGAGATCACTGCTATTGGTCTGAGAGAAACCCCTGAAATGGACCTATATAAGTCCCTTGTAAGGGCATGCTCACTGACTGCTGAGGCAGAAATGAAGATGTGGACAGCTTGGTGCGTGGCCATGTACTTCTTGGGAGCAAGTAAGGAATCAGTAGAGCCACAATACCTGCTCTGCTGCTGGGAGAATGGAGCTCCCTTGCTTTACTCTGGTTTTCACTGGTTTTGTCTTTACAGGAGCTGAAATCACCCAAACCTCAAGTCTTGTGCTGAAAGAAGATGAGAAAGCTACTCTGACATGCAGCCAAAATAATAATCACGATTCTATGTACTGGTATTTGCAGCAGCCAGGGAAGGGGCTGCAATTGATCTATTATTCCATTGGTGCAAACCTGCAACAAGAGGGTGACATTCCCACTGGATACAAAGCTAACCGGGTAAACCGGGAAAACTTCAATCTGGATATTTTGTCTGTGAAGAGGAACCATTCGGGTGTCTATTTCTGTGCCAGCAGTTTGGACACAACACTTCAAAGTCACTTGCTTTCTTTACAGAAACTTCTTTCCAAGTGAGCCCTCATGTCTCTTTGTGTCTTGGGGGAAACAGGACCAGCTCACAATCAGTTTCATTGCGTACGGGGAGGGAAAACTTCTTTTGACTCATCCCCCTTATATTTATGCACTGAGATTCTATTAACGAACAGGGAACAGGTTGTTCTTACATTCTTCTTTAGACATTGTGACTGTTTGCTCAACATCTGCTCAGGTATTGGCTCTCACAGCTAATGCTGAAGCCTGAGGCCTGATGTATGCTGGGAGCAGCTCCATTAGGTCAAAGTAAGAACACCACATACATGTAAACTTATTTTTTTCTTAAAAGAATAATTTTTATTTACTGAAGCAATTCTCAGCATGTTTTGTTCTTGTCAACAGTAACCTGGCTGATAATAACCTTTTTTTCCACATTTTCCAATTTTAGAATTGCACAAAAATCCCAAGATACTTGGCTACAAGGATAACCATGGCATCTGCGGGGAATGGCGCACTTATGGCCCATGACTATTAGTGTATTCATATGAAGATACATAGCATGTACAATGTCCAAATAAGTTGGTCATCTTCGTGTACTGGCCTATTGGGATGTAGGCATCTTCAGTGGTCTCCTCCCACAGATGAGTGCTGCTCTTTTTTCAAAACAATTGCTGTATATGCCCTCAGATATTCCTGGATACCTAATCCATGAAGGCAATGTTCCAGATGTTCTTTTCCACTGAAAAAAGATGGCCTATCACAGCATTGAGTTTATGTCACAGGTCATGGTTTTTTTGTACAACTTCCTCAAGAAGTCCAACCTCCCAAGAAGCTCACTGCCCAGATTAGGTGATGACCTCTCTCTCTCCAAATGACCATGCTTAGAAGTCCTAGAAGTAAAAAAAAAAAAGATGGAAATGAACAGAATAATGTTTATTCCTCCCCATGCTGGCGTCGGACTTGACTTAATCGCTGGTGTGTGACAGGATGTTGTGGGACAGATTTTCCTCTTGAAACTCTTTCACTTTCTTTAAATAGTAAAATATTTATTCTTCAGACATAGAATCTGTCCCATATGAAATATCTAGTCTATACATCTGAATTTTTTATGCAGTAGGAAAAATGGTGTTGCTAATCTCTTTGTGGTACCTCACCACACAGGAGACTAGAGAGTTGGTTCGTCTGGATTCAGATTCTGACATGAAATAGCACCGCCAATGTGGGATCTGAATGTAGATATGCTCCTTGAATGTTTTCCCTGTTACTGTAGACCACTCCTCTGCCCACAGTCACACAGTCTTAGGGTAGTTTAAATGATTGTGTCAGAGACAGCGTTATCACTCTGAATCCTGGAAGTTGGGTTTAGAATTAGTACTACTACTGCTGGGACAGGTAAGGGAAAAGAAGATTTAGGTATTTGCTTCAGGATCAACCCAAGTTTCTTTTACTTTTGGTGTGAGATAAGGATACAGCTGTCTGCCATACATGCTCTTCCCAAAAACAGATCAGGCATACTGGTTCTGAAAGGTAGAAAAGGAATAAAAATAATAATTAAGGTCTCAGCATATGTATTGTACTTTTTTCAGAAAAAAAAAGATTCCAGTTGTCACTAATGAAAAAAGCACACATTACTTGGTTATAGCAAACATTTTCTGGTTTGTTCTGGAAACAAAATATCAACACGTAAAATTAAACACACAAGGGCAAATTGAAACACAATGGTCATATATGAGACAATACTTTGTCTGACAGAATAAAAAAAACTTCCCCTTCAGCAGGTTTGAAACTTCCTCTGTGTTTTCAACAGCTACACTTCAAACAAAGAGTTTGCTTGACATTTCCAGCAGGAAGGAGCTTGGTTTTCAGCATCGATTTGGCTGTTACAGAGATCTCTGCTATTGGTCTAAGAGAAACCCGTGAAATGGACCTATATAAGTCCCTTGTAGGGACATGCTCACTGACTGCTGAGGCAGAAATGAGGATGTGGACAGCTTGGTGCATGGCCATGTACTTCTTGGGAGCAAGTAAGGAATCAGTAGAGCCACGATACCTGCTCTGCTGCTGGGGGAATGGAGCTCCCTAGTTTTACTCTGGTTTTCTCTGGTTTTGTCTTTACAGGAGCTGAAATCACCCAGACCTTAAGTCTTGTGCTGAAAGAAGATGAGAAAGCTACTCTGACGTGCAGCCAAAATAATGATCACGGTTCATGTACTGGTATCTGCAGCAGCCAGGGAAGGGGTTGCAAATGATCTATTATTCCTATGGTACAAATCTGCAACAAGGGGATGACATTCCCACTGGATACAAAGCTAACCGGATAAACCGGGAAAACTTCAATCTGGATATTTTGTCTGTGAAGATGAACCATTCGGGTGTCTATTTCTGTGCCAGCAGTTTGGACACAACACTTCAAAGTCACTTGCTTTCTTTACAGAAACTTCTTTCCAGCACCCTCCCTTAAAAGGGAGCCTCTCTCAGCCCAGCAAAAGCACATATAGTCTAATAGCCTATTCACAACTCAGATACTGCTGAGAAGGTGGAACAAGAGAGTCAGAACAGGTCTTAACCGTGCAGTTTAATTACTGAATTTCTCTTTCCTGATCAGCCGTTCCTTCTCTATCTCATCAAAACAATCAATAAAGATTGTAAACAAAATGCAGACATAAAATAAAGGAAGTTTAAACTTCAATCTACACAGCCACAAATTAATGTCCCCTAAGCCATTTTCCTACCTAACACGGAACAGTCACTTGAACTATACATATGTCTAGATCTGAGATACTGTAGTGATACTGACTTGTATGTGCACTGTCATTCCTCTTCAAATATTATGAAGCAGTGAAAGGCACAATGTTTTTCACTGTGCTTGGAAAGGTTACCCTAATCACAAGGAATCTGTAGAACTAAGACTGTCAACAGTAATGAGAATTAGTCTGACAAAAGGTGATATAAAAGAACTAATATTGCAGAGGTTGCATTAAAATGACAAAAGAGCAGCCATTACCATCGTCTGCAAGTGCATAGACACAGTCCTGAAAAGTTACATGTTTATGGAGGATATAATGAAAAAAGGGAGATAGTACAAAGTAGTATGCAACTTAGAATGATTTCACATTCATGAAAAATAACATGTGGATTTTCATTTATTCAGAAGTTGTTCTGACTATCCAGTTTACCCTGGCTACATAGTGAAGCACATGATATATGTGTCACTTCTATCTCTTTATGCCTCATACTTATACCTCTCTCACAGCTTAATCAGCAGCACCACAGTCTATAGTAATCTGGTTTATTCCTTCTCTCTGTGAATGAGTTCTGAGAGTTTTTTCCCACCTGGGAACTTTGTGATGTTCCTCATTCAAAGTCTTGTAGTTCTGTCTTCATCTAAGCCCTAAGATAACACTGCTCCAGAAAGCAACCGTATCTTGAAGACAAAAATGTAAAGGGATGAACAAGCTGGATGTGAATGTAATTTTATTTATTATGTAATCTCTCCCTCATGGAATATTTCAGGCTTGGCATGAAGAGCCTTGTGTCTCATACAAAAAGAACTACCAGCGTCTCCCAGATAGTGTTATTGATGCAAAAGGATTAGCACGAGGTACTCATTGGTGTAAGCATTCCATTATGTTAATAAAACAAATTGTCCTAGATTGTCCTAAGCAAGAAAGCACTAAGCAGAGTCCTGTGATTTGTAAAAGTCACCTGTATAATTTGCTGGTTCGGAAATAAAAAATAATAATAATAATGTGCGGGGTATTGGAAAGATTTAAAGAAAGGATGGAGAATGGGAACATTCCATAGTTAGATACAGTATCCACATTCTTAGATTATTCTTATCCCAATCTGAACTATGCCAAATTATGTTGTAAATGCTGTAGGGCAAAGGATATATTACTATATATGCAGGATAAACATACTGATCTTCAAAGGAAAAATTCAATTGGTGATTATTGCACAGCATTTCTTCATTGGGAGTTATTAGATTACAGACACAACCCCTGGGGAAAAGGTGAAAGAACCTTTATCTGGGTCCTTTAAATATCTGACTGGCTGCGGAGCAGCTTTGCAGAAAAATAATTGAACATGAATAATCAGCAAGCCCTTTCAGCAATGAAGGCTACTTACATTTTTGGTTGCATTAGCAAGAATGTAGTTAGCATGTTGAAGCACTTTTGAGCCTGCATTTTGAATGCTACCTCCCTTGTCCATACACATTCCAACCCCGCCCCAGACCCAGTACAACAGAGATACCAACAATTGGTAGAGAGTCCAGCAAAAGATCACTAAGATGATGAGGGGTCTGGAGCAAAAATAGAATAGGAGAGGCTGAGGCAATTGATTTTTTTCAACTTAGAGAGGAGAAGGCTAAAGGATGGCTAATTGCGTGACTCCAACTGCCTAAACAGAGTTGGAGTCTTAGAGAGGCACAGTGGAAGCCACTGGGAGCAAGCTGCAGCAAGATGTCCAGGTTAAAGGCACCACTAGGAAACTTCCTAGCCTGGTACAGCCCTGGGACTATTACCCATTGTTGTTCTTCCATGTGGGTGGTGATGAAGTCGAAGCACGTAGCCCAAGGGTGATTAATAGAGACTTCAGGCCCTTGGGATGGTTAGTAAGGGAATTATGGGAGCAGGTTATCTGTTCTTCTCTCCTTCCAGTTGAGGGCAGTGACATTGGAATAAACAGACACACTCAGTCTGGTAATACATGCTCCATGGCTTGTCACCACCACAGTTTTGGGTTTTTTTGACAATGGGAGGGACTACATGGCACCAGGTATGCTGGAATTGGATGGGGTTCATCTTTCTCAAAGGGGGAAGAGGGTCTTTGCTTATGAGCTAGCAGGCCTCATTGACCGAACTTTAAACTAGACTTGAAGGAGGAGGTGAGTATTACGAGGCATCCCAACAAAGAGGAAGTCAGGCAAAAAAGCCAGGAGGCCTGCATGGATGAACAAGGAGCTCCTGGACAATCTCAAGCAGAAAAAGGAAGCCTACAGACATTAATAGTAAGGACAGGTAGCCTGAGAGGAATAAAGAGAAACTGCCTGAGAAGCCAGGGACTGGGTTAGGCAAGCTAAAGCCCAGATAGAGTTAAATCTGGCCAGGGACCTTAAGAGCAACAAGAAAGGCTTCTTTAGGTGTAGAAGTGACAAAAGGAGGACTAGGAAAAATGTGGACCCTCTCCCAAAAGAAACAGGAGATGTGATCACCTGGGACATGGACAAGGCTGAGGTACTCAATGACTTTTTTGCCTCCATCTTCACCAGCAAGGTCTCTAACCACACTGCCCAAGTTGCAGAAGGCAAAGGCAGGAACTGGGAGAATGAGGAACCACCCACAGTAGGAGACGAGCAGGTTTGAGACCATCTAAGGAACCTGAAAGGGCACAAGTCCATGGGACCTGACGAGATACATCCGCAGATCCTGAGGGAAGTGGCAGATGAAGTTGCCAAGCCACTATCCATTGTATTTTAAAAGTTGTGGCAGTCTGGTGAAGTTCCCACTGACTGGAAAAGCTGAAATATAACCCCCATTTTCAAAAAGGGAATAAAGGAAGTCTCAGGAACTACAGGCCAGTTAGTCTCACCTCAATGCCTGACAAGGTCATGGATCAGATCCTCCTGGAAACCATGCTAAGGCACATGGAAAATAAGGAATTGATTGGTGACAGCCAACATAGCTTCAAGAAGGCAAATCCCACCCAACAAATTTGGTGACCTTCTATGATGGGGTTACAGCATTGGTGGATAAGGGTAGAGCAATAAATGTCATCTACCTGGACTTATGCAAAGCATTTGACACTGTCCTGCATGACATCCTCTTCATGAACAGCAGTAAAGGAGAACAAAGATGATTCAAGGATTGGAGCATCTCCCTTATGAGGAAAGGCTGAGAGAGCCAGGACTCTTTAGTCTGGAGAAGAGAAGGCTGAGGGGAGACCTTATCAATGCTTATAAGTATCTAAAGGGTGGGTGGAAGGAGGAGGGAGCCAGACACTTTTCAATGGTTGCCAGTGAGAGGACGGGGGGCAACGGGCACAAGCTGGAACATAAAAAGTTCCATTCAAATATGAGGAAAAACTTCTTTAGGGTGAGGGTGCCAGAGCCCTGGAACAGGCTGCCCAGGGAGGTTGTGGAGTCCCCTTCTTTGGAGATTTTCAAGACCCGCTTAGATGCCATCCTGAGTAACATGCTCTAGCTCTAGGCAATCCTGCTTCAGCAGGGGAGTTGGACTAGATGATCTCTATGGTCCCTTCCAACTCTAAAAATTCAGTAAAATTCAGTGAAATGTTTGATGGATGCACTACACAGTGGATAAGGAACTGGCTGGATTGCCGCACACAAAGAGTTGAGGTCAACATCTTGATGTCCAAGTGGAAACCAGAGATGAATGGTGTTCCTCAGGGTCAGTACTGGGACCAGTGCTGTCTAACATCTTTTCGGTGACATGGACAATGGGACTGATTGTACACTCATCAAGTTTGACAGCAACACCAGCAGGGGCATTGGAACTGGATGGTCTTTAAGGTCCTTTCAAAAATCAAACCATTTTATGAGTGTATGAAGATAAACTCTGATTAGACATATAGAAAAAAATACTTCAGCACTGGAACAGATGTTTCAGAGAGCTTGTAAAGTCTCTGTTCTTGAAGATATTCAGAAATCACCTCGATTGAGAGACCTCCAGAAGTCCTCTCACATCAAAATTTTTCTAGAAGTGTATGATTTCTATCATCTTGCTTTGCTGTTTTGAGATACCTAGAAAAAACATGTTTTTGTTGTTGTTGTTTTTTAATTTGTAAAAGTAGGCCAGCAACTTGCCCAAACCCACAAGTCCATTGTTTTTTGTCTGTTGCACAACAGAAACAGCAGCTGCACATGCAAAACCTATCTGCAGACTTCAGTAACAAGAAGATTGTGTGATAACATGAGACAAAAAACCCACCAGCTTTCATAAGGCCCATATGTGTCACTATTTCTGTCCAACTGTAATACGGTGAACAAAGAGCTGCACCCTGTGCCTCATCCTGAGAGGCTGGGGTGGTGTTGTGGTAAGAAGGGCTGATGCGTTATCAAAACGTGTTTTTTTGAGTATATGTCAAACCGCATCCTGTTTTGCGAAAATTCAACTTCTGTTCCCTTAAAGACATATTTTCAAGCACATTTTGACACATCATCTGCTCTGATGCTGAGGTTCTGTTTTCTTTTGAGACTTTCAGAGATATTTCCCCATTCTGTAGAAAACCCTGGCTACGCTAGACCGAAGCTCCATTAAGCATTAGCTCTCTTCCCATCACAAACATCCCATACAATACACTCTTAAAATCACCATGATGTACACAAACTTCCCAGCTGTAGCACTTCTCTGGTAGTTTTCTGAGTCAAGATTTTTCTGAAATTTTTTGGCTTATTTCACCTCAATCTCTCCTCCTTATCCTACAGTGTTAAAAATTAAAACAACCAAGCACACAAATTGACCGCCCCCCAAAATTATAAACTACAAAAGCTTTAACCTACAAAGTTTCCCCAAAAAGGTAAGAGTGAATGTGTTCTGTTATTTAGCAAAAAAAAACAGTAGGCCATGTTTTCTTACCTAAGCTAGTCATCTTAGTTCCTGTCACAAAATGTTGCTCATATCCAGAGCACAAAGATAGAATAGAATAATAAGTCCCACACCCCACATACCTATTGAGCAAAATAGGTACTGAAATTGCGAAGGCTTGATTCTGCACTGCTAATACCATTTCCACTCTGCTTGAGGAAATATATGTGTGCTAGAACCTTGGTGTCTTCTCTTGGTGCTAAGATTATTAGCCTATGAAAAGAAGCAAATGGTCCTTAACTGTGTTTCTCATGCCGGTGTCATAGGACTTGTGAGCTTCATAATTTCAATTAAAACTGTCTCCTATTTTTAATTTGCATAAACTTACGGCAATGCAGAAAAGAATTGAGATTAAAAAAAAATGAAAAAACAGGGCTAAATGCTAGACAATAATTCCTCTTGCCAACAGTGTTTGAAAACATGAATGCTTGAGTTTTGTGGTTCTATGTGTGCATTATGTATGAATTTTTCACCTGTTACAGAAATGTTCTTTCATATAACCTCTTTAATTCTGATTCTTCCTATTTATCTTTTCTAACACCCTCATTGTATGACTTTGGAGAATTATGTCCCACATCAGCATTTATAATTTTTCCTGATTTTTTCTCAGACTCATCTCCTTCTCCACTCTTTCTCTTTGCCTATCAGTTTGCTAGGAATCCAGTGTATTCATCTGAAATCTGAATAGCCAGACAGCATCGTAGACACTTAAGAGATGTCACAGTAAAAATAACTGATTCTAAATAGTGCATAAGAAACCAGACTGAAACTAAAAATGGAGAGTGGAATTTTGACTCTAATAAAATTAGTGGAAGCTTTATCACTCGTTTCAATAAACCTAACACTTTAACATTTGATTTTCTATTTTCACTTTCTGGATCCAGTGTTATAGTTCAGTGTCAACAGTAGGTTACCTACCCCTAACTTTGGAAAAATTGTATTTTTTCTTAAAATGGTATCGGATCCTGCTTTCTGAAAGTGTAAATGCTGTCAATTAGGTAAAACTTAGATGATATCACACTACCTACAACTGCAAACTGGTTTTCTTCAGCTACATATAAAGTTTTACCATTTTTCAAAATACAGCATTACTGCTGACCTTCATATAAAAATTGTCTGAAGTGTAATTACACAACCTGATATTTGCCCTCATACCTTACTTAACTCTTCAGAATTTTGATTCACCTAATTGGAAATCCCTTACCCATGCAATTTCCTTCTTATAATTCATGCAATAATCAGGTGCTTAACCCACAAAATTTCTCCTCTCCCATAATTAATATTCTGTCTGCTTCAAGTGATGAGGAAGCCAAAACTAGATGTCCTTATCAATGTAAAGTTTTATCATAGCCACCAGAAAGAATTCTTACTATACACATATCTTGGGAGATGCTGCTTCAGATATGAAAATATTGGCTTGGACAGGAAGGTCAGTACCTCTGGCATGTGTTTAACAAAAAGTTTATCAAGGAGGGTGAAAGAAAATTGACAGATGCTCTCAATTTTGCTGTCAGCCTCTATTTATCACTCAGTTTAGTCACTGAGGTCTCTGCCTGAAGTTGAGAGGGAAACCGTAAGAAAAGAGTACATATCTGTTGTAATAGTGTTAAGATTTAAAGAGCTGAAGAAAAATAAGCCTCCATTAACACCTCTCTTCCCTCTGTCCCCTCCCTGTCTTCTGTGATCTAGGAAATTTTGGACACGGGAGATCACCAGCTGGGAGGAGTAGGCAGCTGTTTATTTTCTGTTCTCAGGACTCTAGGACCCTGGCTTGTGCCAACAGATAATTGTCCCCTATTCCATGTCACACTTGGCACAGAACTTGATTACCAACCGGTTTTGCTTCCTTCACTTCAGATTGTATCTTTTTCTCTTTTTTTTTTCAAGTGCTATTTCTCAAGTATAGTAGTCCTTGGCTTGGATTTTCAGACAGCAGCTCCTTGCCATCAATCAAACTCCTTCTTATAAAATACATAATTAGAGTTCTAATTCATCCCTTAATCTACTGTCCAATTCCTGAATAGGGTATTAGTGCTTGATCTGCAACTTATTTCCAGCTTGTGAGTTTTTCTTCAAGAATCAAAACATCTTCTTTCTTCTAGGGGGTCCCTGACTCATACCCTGTCTGCGTTTCTCTTTGGTTTTTTTCTGCTTCTTCTGTATCTTTGTCTATTTCCTGAAATCACTCAAAAGCAAAAATTACCTACATAGTCTTTTACAATCGGGGCAAAAGTGGCAAAAATTACTTATGAAAACAACATTTGCAACTGTAAGACTGATGACATCTGTCACTGATATACAGAGCAACTTAAACATGACTAAAATGGAAAATGTGGGTATAAAAAGAAGTAATTAAAAGCCAAATTTCTTTCTGGCTTTTCTTTGTTTTATTTCAAACATACTTTGTAAAAAACATTTTCATAATTTTAACAGTCAGCTTGGTCCCTCCTACAAACTGCAGCAGCTCTGTGTAAGCACAGATAAAAATTATTTCTAAATTTGCTGAAATCTTAGTCATCCAAATGGCTAATATTGTTATTCTGTGTTGTTTGAGTTTGTGTAAAGGAGAAATCAACTCAAATTTTCTCCCTCAGTGGGGAAGCAAATGCTAAGATGTTATGTGAATAATGGAAGGACATTAAATTGTTTAGTTGAGGATATCAAAAAGTGCTCCTTTTGTTCACACCTTGTGAATTCGAGACCCATAATGGTAGTTTTGTAAAACACAGTCTCTAAGAAGGGTAGTTCTTTTGTTTGAAACATGAAAACTACATAAATAATAGTTGTAACCAAAATACCGAATAAATCTCTTTGTTCAATATGATATGGCACCTGGCAGTGTGCCCAGGTGGCCAAGAAAGCCAATGGCATTCTGGCTTGTATTAGAAATATCGTGACCAGCAGAAGTAGGGAGGTGATTGTGCCCCTGTACTCAGCACTGGTGAGGCCACACCTGGAGTATTGTGTCCAGTTTTGGGCACCTCAATCCGAGAGAGATATCGAGGTGCTGGAGCGAGTGCAGAGGAGGGCAACGAAACTAGTGAAGGGCCTGGAGAATAAATTGTATGAAGAGCGATTGAAGGAGCTGGGACTGTTTAGTTTGAGGAAGAGGAGGCTGAGGGGAGACCTCATCACTCTCTACAACTACTTGAAAGGATGCTGTAGAGAGGTTGGGGCTGGTCTCTTCTCACAGGTAATTAGTGACAGAACGAGAGGGAATGGCTTCAAGCTCCAACAGGGTAGGTTTAGACTGAACATTAGGAAGGAATTTTTCACAGAGAGAGTGGTCGGGCATTGGAATAGGCTGCCCAGGGAGGTGACTGAGTCGTGGATGTGTTTAAGGGACGTTTAGATGGGGTACTGAGGGATATGGTATAGGGGAGGACTTTGTAGAGTAGGGTAGATGGTTGGACTCGATGATCCCAAGGGTCTCTTCCAACCTAGATGATTCTATTATTCTATGATATTTTCTCCCATTCTGAAGTGTTTTGAGGGGATTGAAGAAGCACAGAGCAGGAAAAATTACTCTATTTTATGTGATTAGACCCATCTTTCCTCTAGCAGTAAGATATATTTTTTTTCCTGATAATTGCATTAAAAAAGATATGCCAGGTTCCCCTCAAATCCATTACCAGATCCCTTCCAAACAAACAAATGCATTGACCGACAGGAGACTTTTAATCTATTCACCAAATTTTTCTTCACTCCCACAATGAGCCTGTTGCTCTTAGCAAGCTGATCTCGAGTAAGAACACAGTGAGAGAAAAAGCAGCTACCACGCCTCTCCTGAAAGGGTGTCACTTATCATCTGGAAGGTATTCCCAACAGGCATACAAACAGGTACACAATACAAATACACGTAGACACACAGCCAGCCACATGCATCAATACAGACAGAAACACTCATGCAAACACAGATGGCACTAACAGACCTGAGGGTATGAGCTCCTGGTACAGACCCCCTCACTCACAGATACAAAACCTCATGCACACCTTTGCACACGCATACATGCACGCATACACGCCGGATCCCAGTAACTGACCTTAGACACTGAGTCTACCCAGCAACTGGGCCCGAGCTCCACAGTCCTCCAGTTATCTCACACACCCACATGCACACTGGGATCCATGGCTATATACGGTGGATCTCCCAGAAACTAGCCTTCTGCTTGCTAGCTGGCCCTGGATGCTCACTCTCCCAGTCCCTGGTACTGGAGCACGCAAGCCTCTGAAGCCTGCAGCCCCACTCCAGTTGCTGGTACACAGTATGGATGAGCCTCCTACTCTTCTCTTAAAATATAAGTTATTCCTGTAAGGATTGTCAGTGAATGCTCTTTAATGTGAGTTCTTTATGATACTACACATCACTGGAAGTTGTGTTGTAGGACGTTATTGCTACAAAAGACCAAAATAAAGAACAACAACTCATGTTTCTTGAATGGAAAATAAGCTAAAACTTTATTCCTAATTCAACAAGCTGGGTTCTCAGCCTCTGAGCATTAAGGTGTCTGTTTAAAACATATAATAGTATACGATTTGATATAACACAATATAATATGATATAGAAGTAGAGAAGAAAATCCAGCAGTGATTACAATAAAGTGGAAAGTACAAGATGGGGACAGAGAATCATTAAGAAATAATATTTAAAAGCTTTTTAGGCAGATGCATAGATCCTTTGCTGTGGGAAGGTAGAAAGTATACTTTGCTGTGTTCCTGCTGATGTGATGACGAGGACTCTTCATTTATTCTCTATACCACTTGCCACCAGCCTAATTGAAAACAAAACAGAACAAATAAATAAAATAAAAAAGGAACAAATAAAATAATCTAGGAAATAGTAGATCATATCTATCGGTGTCCCAACTGTTGTGTCTCCTAAGAGCATTAATAGAAATGACCATGTTGTATCTCCATGCTTTCTCCCCTTTTTCTACCAAGAAAGTGTCTTAACCTGTACAAATTATTTATTTACATACTGAATGAATATCTTTATACACAATTTTGTGTATTAGATGACTAATCTGATGGCCTTCTATAACAGAGTGACTGCATCAGTGGACAAGGGAACAGCTATAGATGTCATCTATGTCAGCTTCTGTAAGGCCTTTGATACAGGCCCCCAAAGCATTCTTGCTGCTGGATTGGAGAGATATTGATTTAATGGATGGACTGTTTCATGGATAAGTAATTGGCTAGATGACCATGCCCAAAGAGTTACAGTCAATGGTTGAATATCCAAGTGAAAACCAATAACAAGTGGTTTCCCTCAAGGGTACATACTGCGTTTGATAGCATTTAATACCTTCATCAGTATATCATTGATGGTGGGATTGAATGCACCCTCATCAAGTTTGTGGATGACACCAAGCTGAGTGGTGCAGATGTATCACCTCAGAAACCCTGCTTATTACTTTTACTGCAGGCATGAGTCCCTTTTCAAAGCTTACTGAAAAGTATGATATATCTGATATTTCCCTTCTTAAATTTCTGGAGAAGTTGTCATTAATTCTCATCTTTTTCCATGTGTTTAAAGAGTAATTTGAGAAAGAATTTCTCTGATAGATAGCATTGATTTTATTTGAGTTCTGGAAAAACAATAATAGTAAACTCATCACTTACGATGTTTCAAGCTAGCCAGTGCAAAGCCCAGCAAAACACATGTAGAACAACCCCACAGCTGAGAAAGATTTGGTCTGTATCCACTGATCCTTGTACTAGTGAGTAAACTCAATCTTCAAGTGGCACACTAGCCTACCTTGGCTGTCCACACCAGACTGCTCACCAAAACCGCGTAGAGCAAGGCTTTGCCACAGAGAATCAGGTAAGTGAGCTTCAGGGAGTTTCCATACCGCCGGTAGGACTCTGAAAAATCAAGCACCATTGGTATATTAAGTCATTATCGTCACAAGAGACTAGAGTTAATGTAGATTTAATCAAATATAAACCCTTGAAATCTTTAGCTAAGTGACACAGAGGAACTAGATCCAAATGTGTGGCTTGCTTGACACGAGGTAACAGGGAATGGCAAAGAACACTGTAATTCAAAGAACCAAAAGAGGCAGGAAGTCTAGAAAAGACAGAGATTGGCTTCATGCTAGAAAGTATGTCGTGTTTGGGAATGCTTAACCATTGTGCTGCCACATTTACTGAAAACTAGGCAGTTGATGTGAATCCCCCTTTAGGAGCTCAAGCTGAATCACAAGACATGGACATTTTTCACTCATTATTGTCATCGGCCTTGTGAGTGCTGCTGATGGATTAGTGAAGCTTTACACAGCCCAGAATAACATGGTGTCTAGAACTTTTATTCTTGCAGATTTTTCACTCTTAAGAAATTGCTGTAGTATTGAGACATCTTGGTTCAGACTTATGATTCCCACTTATGATTCCAGAAGCATTAAAGAAGTTGGTGAAAAACAAGAGTGTGTAAGTATGTATACATAGACAAAAGAAACATAGTTTTTAATATGGATATCCACACAGTTTGGAGGTGAATGTGACTTTTAATGAGAAATATTCTGAATTTCACATTCTGAATCTTGATATCGTAATCACTTGGTTATGTATGAATTTTTACTTTTAAAATGCTGAGCAAGTAGCTTCCCAACAGAAGGGAGTGTTAAGGACTGGAGGAGACGATAAAAATCAAAAATTACACTCTATAAGAAGGTTTCATGGTTTCTCCTGTTTTTTCCAAAGGGAATCATAAAGAAGAGCTAAAAATCCAAAACACAGCTACATATAGCACGCACATACAACTCTCCTGAAGTTTGTTGTTTTGGTGGTTTTTTTTTTTAATCTAACATACAAATCCCTTAGATGGGGAAGTACAAGTTATTCTTGTAGTAGAACTCTCACACACCTTGTATTTAGTATCTGTAAAATTAGAATTAAAATACATAGATATTTGCCAGTGAGAACACACACATACCTTCTGTGACTGCACAACCTGAAAGACAAAAAATAAACTGGTCACATTTCTCTTCAGTGCAAACAGAACACAAATTTTAGAAGTTTCAATTTACAATATACTGCCTGATTCATTTTCCTATAGTACATATTTTATTTGACTATACATTTTATGGTATAACAGAGATTTCTCAGTGAAAATCTGAAGATACCTTTGAAAAACTATAGATGTATAATGATAATGTAGATACAGAGGCCCAGGAATATGAAGAGACATATGCAAATGCCTACATATTTTCATACATATTTGTGCCATAACAGCACCCTGTATAGAAGTTGTATATAGATGTGTTTCACATCGTAACTCACACCCTTTTCACTTGTGATTTCTATTTTGTACAGCATGGTGATACGCATTTTTTACTCACCAGCATCGCCATAGATGAATTTCTGTGTCGAATCCAGTGTTCCATCCTTAAAAAAATTTGCAACACACTCAAAGCGGTTGAAAGGGTTAAACCATTCCTGGGCTGAGATCCTCAGTCGGCTGGTCAATGAGTAGTTTTTCCCATTCCCATTCCATGTGGAAAACTCATCTGTCCCCACCCCTTCTGTCCTCTTAGCGCCATTCACCTTCCAGAACAAATTCAAGTGGTCAGGGTAAAAACCAGAGGCCAGACACACCAGTGTGGCCTTGTTCTTCTGTTGGATCTCTTGCTTTGATGGGGAGAAGATGGCCACAGATGGAGGTATGATTTTATCATCCGTCCCTGAAAAAGAAAGCAATATGGCCCAGAGCCTCCTTGACTGTCTTCAGTCAGAAACCCCTCAAAATTGTACTGTATTTGTGCTGTGTGACTCCTGATATATATGGCCCTTTAACAGCTGTCTATTAGATGATTAATATCTGTTAGATAAGTAAACACCAGGAAACTTACAGCATTTGTCTTCACTTGTTACACACCAACATAAAAGGTCTGGCTACAGAAATGCATGAGTGAATTTCTGGTATTATCTCTGTCAGAAGAATAAGAAAGCTGAAAAGAAGCTGAGCAAACAGGTATGCAGAAAAGTACCCAGCACTGCTACCACACCTGTATTTGTAATATTGTACTAATAGATAAGAGTCTGTGTTAGAATGCACAAGCATATTCAACTGACTGCATTATACTAATGGATATGTAGTAAGACAGGACAGTTATTGCAGTGTTCAGTATTACACTGCCATGTGATACCCTACTTGGGCCCCCCCATCTAAGAGGTGACTTGAAAGGAGGGAGCTAATCTTTCTCACTGTCTGAAGCGAAGAACACTTTCAGTACGTGATTTGAATCTGCCTGAGACAATTTTTACTTTAGGTCTTACCTTGCCATCCTTTTTTTAAGACTATGAAATATCTCCTTGTGTTATTTATTATTTAGGTTATTCTGGTTATGAGAAACTCTCATCCTAGACTACATATCTTCCCAAAATGACACAAGATTCTATATAATCACAAAACAAAAATTATCCCTGTCTGAAAGTTTTTAATAGCTACATATCAGGCTAAAGACATGTCTGAAAGTTTTTAATAGCTACATATCAAGCTAAACAGACTTCTACAGTCAAAAGCATGTACAAAACAACAATGAGACGTTACTCAGAAGCTAGGCAGAGACCCTAAAAGCCACCTTCTTTTTTTTTTATCCCATATACTTTATTAGAGTGCCTTTTTACTTGTCTAGTATGATAAACCCACCAGGTCTGAGGGGTGCACATGGAAACAAAGACAGAGAGAGCTATACAACCAAAGATAAAACTTTTTCTTTTTTCTCGATGTGAAGGCACTATAAATTCTAGATGTTCTTCCTAATCATTCCATCCTTTCTGGAGTGGAGAAAATTAACATAATTAACAGAAACTTATATCTTGCATAGATCTTGACCCCTAAGTGCTTGCTTTCAACTGTTAGCCTTAATCATGATTGTCATTGCTTACTCTACGAAGATCCCTGGGGTTCTTTTGTGAAATGTTTGAGTTTTTTCAGACTTTAGAAGAAGTGACTAGATTGTAACAGAAATAACTCCCTAGAAGGTTTGGCACTGTTGTGCTTTCCTTCTAGTGGATATAAGGAGAGGTTGATCACTTTTACTGCTCCCTTCTAGTACTTGGCTTTATTAATTTTTTTCCTATCCTAAAAGTATCTCTGACATAAGTTCATTGGCTCAGACTAAATGTCTAACAAATAAAGACATAGAAACAGATAGGGAGGACACAAAAGAAGAATGAGAGAGACTTAACAGACTAAACCCCCCCAAAAGCAAAAAGGAAAGCAGGTGAAAAAGGCAGGCAGAAAGAATGAGAAAACTACTGGAAAGACAAAGAGAGGCAGAGAATGATCATGCTTGAAATGGAATAAGGAGACTGGTCCAAGCAAGAACAGAGACAATCACAAAAAAAACTGTTATCAGCAGCCCATTTTGTTCTGATCTTCCTCAGTGTTCACAGCAGACACTGGCACAATGCTTAATCATTTTCCACGCATAAACTCGTGCATTCCCTTGTCACACATTCTTCACCCACCCAAGAGAAAAAGTACCACAATTCTTCCATCCCCAACATTGTAAGGTCAGTTTCATGCTTTCTTGTTATCTTTCGCTCCTACTCTCATTTTAAAATCATCTGTGTATATGCTACCTATCATTAATGCAAAGGAATTTTTCAAGAGTCTTCCACATTGAACACCTGGATTAATCGCAGCTACTTACCTATAACTCTGAGCACAGTCCCAGCTCCAAAAGTAAGTTGTGTGTTAGAAAGCACAGCTGTACACAGTCAGACTACAACCCCCAGTGCCATTATGCTCTTCCTGCCAGCTATTTAGTTCCTTAAAATGGTACTGCTTCAAGGAGCAAAAAATACCTGTGTGTATTTCTACAGTTTACTATCATATATGGCATGGGCAGATGGAAAAGGTTATTTTGAGTTGTGGTTCCAAAATGCCTTTATATAGGTGATGTTAAATACTTTCCCAGGAGGGGAGAAGGCAGAGAAAGAATGGAGGGGAAGAGTGCACTGAGAGAAAAAGAATACAGTCCTTTTTGAGAATTAGAAGTCGTGAAATAGACTATTAGAGGAAGCTGGTGTCCCAAAGCAATTTTAAGCAGCCTGTCCACCATTTGTGGAGGAGAGCAAAGTACCAGCAAGACTAGTCTTTCCCTGCCTGATTTAGCAGACACAGGAATCCAGGCTCTACGTCTGAAATGTTGCTTTTGATTGTTACATAGATGAACCGCAAAAATTTGCAGACCAAAGAAGGATCTTTCATTCCCAACCTCTAGAATGTTTTCTTGGAGAACAGGAGGAAACCAAATTATTTTTCCTTTTCTCCCTTCATGAAGTTCCCAACAAGGAAAGACAAAGACAACAGACAAAAGAACCTCAAAATTCATGCTTGCAAATCCTACACTTCTATATCGGCACATCTCATTTTAATAAGCAACCAATAAAACATTAATCCCATCCTCACGGCCACATGAAAAATTATCACTATTATGCTGTTAACAAAGAATGCTTTTGTTCCCTAAACCAGTGTCACATATACCGTGGAGATCTGATGTCTGTCTTACCTATGACTGTGAGTTTTGTCCCACTGCCAAAGTCGAGTTTGTCATTATTCACATTGTTTTGGAGCTGCAGGAAAACCTCTCTCCTCTACTCTCAGTCCTCTGAGCCCAACATGTGGACTAACCCTCCTCTCATGTGGTACCAGCAAAAGAAGTAACACAAAGTACATTAATCTAAAGTCCCTTTAGAAGTCCCTTTCTGCTTCCCTGGAAGGAAGTCTCTGCTTTGATTCCCTCTGGTCTCTTAGCTGTGATTATTAAAGTTAGCTGGATAATTTTCTATAGTCAATGAGCGATCATCAGCTCGCACACTTCAGATTCACACTGGACTTCAAAAAATGTGCTGATCACTGAATTTTTCCTATGGACATTGAATTCTATCACTTGTAAGCATTTTACTCTGCAGAGGAACAGTGTGGTACAAAAACCTGAGGCATCAATTCTTCTGACTCCAGGAGCAATACAATGAGAAGATAGCTGTCATTTTTCAGAGTCTTAGAAGCAGCCTTGTTTTCCCTTGGATTTGGAGAGAGTTTCAGTCCAGAAGGGTAGCCCAGAGAGAACCATTCTCTGAGAGTTATTTTTATCTGAAATGAATCACATATTCTGTTTCTGTGCTTCTCAGTGGCCTTTTAGCATCTACTCTGAAATAGTAAGACTGTTGTCCTAACAGATCTTTTTATCGCCATTCTGATGAGTCTGTTTTGTGGAAAGAAACTTGCTGTGCTGTGGATAGTTGTTTCCTATATCAACAAGGAATTAAAGAACTGATGAGAGCTCTTAGTATTGCTTATGATAAAGTTGGGTTTTTATTTGCGGCTTCTGTTTTGTCAACTAAAAATGCTAGTACACTTATTTGTCTTTCCCATTTATCTGAGACAACATATGCTTTAGTTTACCCTGAAAAGATCCAAAGCAATTTAAGTTTGTAGAGGGTTGATTTTGTTTTCTAGACCTGTTGAAAGGGTAACTCTAACTCAGTCCTTTCCAGACAGCCTTTCATTGACTTGTCCTTAATCACCTGTAGCCCCAGTTGAACTAGCATTATGGAGAACAGCTCTACTTTTGGGGAATAGTGATTTTCACAGATGTCAATTTATTAAGACAATATACTTACGTGCGTATTTTTTAACCCATTCCTCATCCTAATTCTTTCTACGGAAAGCTTTTTATTCACGGAAAATGCATTCATTCAGTACTCCAAAGTGAAATGTGTGTCCCTACTTAGAGTACTAAACTTAGTCTATTCTCCAAAGTACAGTGGGTTACTAGCACATCAGGAAAGCACCAGTTTAATAATGAAAGGTAGAATAAGGTTAAAGTGAAGTTCTCTAAAGAAAAGACCTAGGATTTGAAGCAATTTAAGAGAGAAAACAAAAATTTCTTACCGATTACTGTAAGTTTTGTACCATCGCCGAAAATCAAGTTATTGGTAGTCACAGTGACAAAGCATTGTATCGTAAGCTAAGAAAATGGATACACTACAATTGACTTAAGGAAAAAGAAGCTTAAGCAATTTTTATTGTATCTGGAATCCCAAAGATCCCTCAATCTCTGTCTGAAGGGCTTTGGCAGAAAATCAGCTTGAAACCCCATTGTATAATCTGTAGCATTTATAGAAACATTTCCCAGAGTTTTTTGATACTTATTTTCACTGCCTACATTTCACCTCGAGTTTTTTTACAACCTCTCTCTAGCCTCTATGCTATCTCATTCATATTACCTGCTATTTTCATTTTGCAGCTATAGAAACCCTGCAGATGTACCCAAAGTGATAGAGGCTATCATTGTCTAGAAATACAATTCTTCTACAACTACAGCTTCCTTACTGTCAGTCTTGTACTCTAAGCATTGTGAAGCCTTCCTTTCAAGGAAGCCTAGCCTAGGTAACTTGTGGAGTTAATAATAAAATAATACTTGCTTTGTCGTTGTCACAGTCACATGCATTTTCATACAGGTGGTTCGCATTTGTGGCACTGTACTAAAAGAAATCCATTTGTTTTCCCTTCAATGGCAGGCCATCCATCTGGAATAGTCTTTCAGGATCCCATTCAGTTTTCTGATAGGTTAAAAGTAATCCACACACAGAGAGTCCAGAAGAATCAGTTGGCTGGTCTGAGACAAACCCTTGGTATCCATTAGGAAGAACTGCAGTGAGACTGTGTTGAGAGGGATTAGAGAAAACATTTGTGCTCACAGCCGTGAGTCAGTCAATGGACACTGGAGGCTTATTAAGAGAGAAAACCCCACCATGATTACACAGTGCATCTGAGAGATACCTGCTACATGTCAGAATTGTTTTTCTAACCCTTTTATCACACAAGAACCATTTAGTGGTCTATTGCAAACATTATCACATCAGAAAAAAAACCAAACCCAATTCTCTGCTTCATGTACTCTGATAGGTTTCAGGTGCATATTCAGTCAACCTGGTTTGCTGAAAATCATTTCAGTGTCTCAGAATCTCCTGGCATGTTTTCCAGAGAGAGCAGGCTCAGTTCTCAGATCATGAAAATATGTTCTAGCATACTAGGTCTGTCAAGAAAAAACAAGACAGAATGTGCCTGCTGTGCTGCAGGATTCTCTGTAGCTGCCTTAACACACACTCCCACAGGGGTTATGTACATATGGGTTTTTGTAAAGGCCTCCTGGGAAATGTATCATTGTGTGCTACCTGTCCCCACAATGATAGAACCTCATACAAAAACAATCCCACCCATGGCTCAGCCCTCCCATTTTGTCACCCAGTCATGAAAGATTTCCATGGGAACCACAGACCACATCCTTCCTCTGCCATTGCTGTTTCTGTGTGATAGTCCAATTAGCGTAAGCATTATCCCTTAATTTCTAATGCCGACATTTTTCTCCTATAGACAAAAAAGTAATATATATTTTTTCTTTTATTAGCTGGTTTCAAACACAGCTATTTTTCACTTGGTAACTTCGTGCCAGTGTTCGTGCTGCTTTCCTTCCCACAGTTTTTTCTTCTGTCGCAGGATGATAAACAGACATCAAGCCCACAGTAACTGGCTTGCATTGAGTGGTTTGCTTACTACAGACTGGTGTTTCTGTTTGTAGCCTGGCCTGATTGTGAATATCCTCTTTGGTCTGCGCTGCTCTTCTTAACAGTTGCTCCGCAAGGGAGGGAAGTAGGATGCTGAGCTCTTAAGTTTGTGCTCCTCTCACTGCCCTGTTACAGGCAGCAGAAGTATAAGCTCCTCCCAGGTGCCTGTGACCCTGATTATGAAAATGCTTCATCTAGGAGTAAGAGTATACCTTCATTTTGAAGACTCTCTGAAAGGAGTGGGGACCGGCAGTGACAAGTAACAGGATACTTCTGTCTGAGACACAAAACTGTGTTTTCTTCCCCCATAGGTTTGTCCAGGTATGATGCAACTCTCAAGAGGGAAAAATCTGTGCCAGTGAGATGGCGTGTACCAGCAGAGACTGAGGCAACACGGGAAAAGACAGGGGCATGAACAAACCAGTTTAGGTTTGGTTACATACGCAGGCCATCCTGGCTTTGTCTTCTCACATAAAAAGTCAGCATATAGTCAGCAACATGACCAAGTGCCTGCAGTAAACATGTTGCTCATATTGCTCTTTAATATTGCTCTTTCACTTCAGTTTGTCTTGCTGTAAAAAATAGGCTGTAAGTACAGGATACAAGGTAATTCTACTAGGAAAATCAGAAATTATTTTCTCTCCTTCTCAGATATCAAAGAAGAACCCATAATTTCTGATACACCCTGTTCAGCTGGGAATACCTGTTAGTGTCCCAGGGAAGAGGATGAGAAACATAGGATAAGCTGAAATATTAAAGACCAAGATACAGGACTACTGAAGGTAGGATATCAGAGAGGTGATCTCAGGTGACCCTACAGTATCCTCTCTTCTACAACAGCAAAACCGTGTGCTTAAGTCACTAGTTATGGGGATGACTTCAGGCACTTGTCTTTGTTTAGATTGAATTCTTTTTAAAAATACATTTTAGGATTTTATTTGCCTGGCTATGCCTAAATAGTAACACTAATAGTGAGACATTAATTGCTTGCCTGGGTCTTAGACTGCCTCTGATCTCAGCACTGTTTTTTCAGGGTCTAAAACCATTCTACTGAAATTCACTGAAGAGTATCCTGTCTCCTCCAGTCTACAGATCCATTAGTGCCCTTACTGTTGCTAACAGACTGTTTCGCATACAGTGTCTTTAATTTAAAAACAAGCAAAACTTCTGTATTAATTTTGAAGGAGTGTTTCTGTGCAGTGCTAACATCTTCTCAGGGCATGCTCATAAAGCAATTTCCAAGACATGCCAGCAGAGACCAGTCTTGTCCCACTTGAATGTTCATCTGTAACCTGTCAAAACAAAAAGCCTTGTAGGCCATGAGTTCACATGAGTGAGAGGAAGAGAAGAGAGGAAAGACAGTTCCTTGATTTTTATTTCCATGTCTCTCCTAGGAACTTGCATGAGCCAAGCTGTGTAAAACTTCAGACAAAAAGGAAAGGTGAGAATATGCAAGCAAGAGACATTTAGTGCCGTATTTTCTAACAATGGTATCATTTTAGTGGGGGAAGTTTACAGGAAATAGCAACTGTATCACTTACATCAGTCATGGATTATTCTTCGGAGGTTACAGAAGAAGCAGCTACAAAGAAGCAGACAGAACTACAGAGATACCCTGAGCTTTACAGATTTGTTTGAGGGACACTAGGAAGTTCTTTTCATAAACATTCAGTAATTTTGACCACAAACCCCTAAAATTAAGCAAAAACCCCTTTTCAGGGCATGTCTGTTTACTGAAAAGATAAGATGGTGGAAGGAGAGAATGCATAAAATCACACCCTGTGGAGGGTTGACTGGCAGGCTCCCAGGTGCCCACCAAACCCCTCTATCACTCTCCCTCCTCAGCAAGATGGGGGATGAGAGGGGAGAAAATAAGATGAAAAAGAACTCATGAGTCAAGATAAAGGCAGTTTAATAAAGAAAAAGCAAAGGCAGCATGCAGAAGCAAAGGAAAACAAGAAGATTTATTTTCTACTTCCCATCAGCAGGTCATGTTCAGCCACTTCCTGGGAAATACACATAGCAGTTGCTCCAGCAGCCAAATGCCTTAATAATGAGTGTCCCCTCTCCTCCTCCTTTCTCTTAGCGTTTCATTGCTAAACACAACATCATAAGTTATGGACTATCCCTTTGGTTGCTGGGTCAGCTGTTCTGGCTATGTCCCCTCCCAGCCTCTCGCCGAGCCTAAGTGGCCTTTGGAGAAGCATGAATGGTGGAGGGAATGGGTTTGGAGACACAGCCTTGATGCCGTGGGAGCACTGCTCAGCAGTAGCCAAAACACTGACATGTTATCAACACCTTTCTAGCTATAAATACAAAGCATAGCACTATGAGGGCTTCTATGGGGAAAGTTAACTCCATCCCAGCCACACCAAATACACATCCTTATGCAGAGAGTGATGTTATACCATCCTACATATTTATATTTCCTTTATTTCATTCCCTTTATTTTCCTTCTCTTCCAGCTGGTGTCTAATCAAGATTCTTGTTAGAGGCCTTTGATTTGCACCCAAGTTGTGCCACTAAAGAACAATATTGTTTCCCAAATGTTTATCTTCTGCTCCCAACCCTGTATTGAATTATTAACACAAGGTTGCCTGTCCTGTTATTTCTGTTCTGAGTCAGTTCGTGTTTCATAGGAAACCTGAGAAACAGCAGCTGTGGTGGGAAACATCTCTGTTTAATGTCTTCGTTAATGATCTGGATGATGGGGCAGAGTATACCCTCAGCAAATTTGCCGACAACACCAAAGTGCGAGGAGTGGCTGGGTACACTACAGAGTCGTGCTGCCATCCAGGGGGACCTTGGCAGGCTGGGGAAATGGGCCAACAATAACCTCATGAAGCTCAACAAGAGGAAGTGCAAAGTCCTGCACCGGGGGAGGAATAATCCCATGAACCAATATGTGCTGGGAACAACCCAGCTGGAAAGCAGCTTGTCAGAAAAGGAGCTGGGGCTCCTGGAGGACAGCAGGTTGCACATGAGCCAGCAATGTGCTCTTGTTGCAAAGGCGACAAATAATCAGGGGCTACATTAGGCAGACTATTGCCAGCAGGTTGAAGGATGTGATCCTTCCTCTTTATTCAGCACTGTTAAAGCCACAGCTGGAGTACTGCGTCCAGTTCTGTGCTCTTCACTACATGAGAGGCATGGACATAGTGGAGAGTGTTCAACAAAGGGCCACAAAGATGGGAGAGGGACTAGAGCATCTTGCGTAGGAGGAGAGGCTGAGACAGCTGGGACTGTTTGGCCTAGAGAGAGAAAGCTCAGGAGAGCTCTGGTTAATGTATATAAGTACATGAAAGGAGGGTGCAGAGAGGATGGAGATAGGCTCTTTTTAGAGGTGTCCAGTGCCAGGCCCAGAGGTAATGTGCACAAGCTCAAATGCAGGAGATTCCTTCTGAACACAAAGGAACACATTTTTACAGTGAGGGTTACTAAGCTCTGGAGCAGATTGCATAGGGAGATTGTGGAGTCTCCATGCTTAGATATTCAAAAGCTGTCTAGACACAGTCCTCGGCCACTGGTCCTAGGTGGCCCCACTTGAACCCGGGCTTTGGACAAGATGATTTTCAGAGGCTTCTTCCAACCATTCTGTGATTCTATATTTCTGTAAAACCCTCACAGTAGTTGCAGGATGACCACACCACATGGTATAGCATCATTATCTATATAGATATGTGACTTTACACATCCTTTTCTTCCTTTGTCTTACCTTTTGAGCAGCCAGCATAACTTCTAGAGAGCAGGTAGGCTATTATTCATTACAAATATACAGCTGTTTACACAGATGTGCCTGAGATGTCATTGCTGAGCATCTAAAACAAGTACCTTCGACTATGGTTTCTGTATCCACAGCTCCCCTGCCACTTTCTATAGCAGGAGACGAAGGAGAATAAATATGAGGACAGGGATGGTGACAAGGAGGACAGTAGCTATTTCATGAGGAACTTCTTAGAATAGCTGCTTTTTGTGCAGTGCCACTTCATGCTGGCAAAAGAAGTACTGCATAGGAGAGCTGGATTAGGGAACTGTGACTGCAGAACTTCAAGATGGCAATGACCACTAGAGATCTCTATGATTTTCTACTATCACCTGGAAATTGCACAGCTGTGACCAGCCAATAATTAAGCTCATTAATCTGCTGAATGTTGAAAGATGCTGATAAATTGTGCTGTTTTTTTCACAGGGCCTTAAAATTGCATTTGCCACTATAAGCTAAAAATGCTCAAGAGTTGAGAAATAGAAAGGGATGCTTCTTCTGTTATGTTCCCAGAGCTGATAAAGTTGGTTTTCAGTGTTTATGCAAGAGATCTGAGCTAGGACTCTAACATGAGGATTTTCAGAAACTGGTAATTTATTGAAAGAGAATAAAAAATAATGTTAAAACATCACCCGAAGGTCTCTCCCAAAGTTACCACCATGGTGTTTATATCCCTTAATGTTAATCAAAAGCTCATCTCTGCAAGCAATGAAGACAGAGGCACAACAGGAGGCAATTTCTGCCATCAACTGTCTCTCACAAGGGGAGCACCAGGTGACAGCAGCTTTTTGTGGTTTCCTTTCTCTGCCCATGAGGTTTTGCCGTGAAGATATGCCTTGTTCCTTCTCAGAACTGTGTGCATTTCTGTGGCAAGGAAAAGAAGGATCCTGCAATTAAGTGGAGTGTGGAGCAGGTGAATAAAAGTGCTGCAGGGCATACTGCCACTTGTAAAGCTGCCAAGGGGCTGTCCCCTCCACAATGGAAGGCATGCATGTTTCCTCCCACCTGTACTGGTGCCATCTTCCCGTGTCCACAATCAGAGGCTGGGCTCTCCTCCCACACCGATCAGTCTCTCATTGAGCACCTCTGTCTTTGGGTGGATCATCAGTACGTGGAAGAACCTTGAATTCTCCTTCAGCTTTGTACTCTTTTCTTGGTGCTGTGGTGCGGTCCGTGGGGAGCTAGGGGCCCAAAACATGGTTGTGTTTCTGTAGCACTAATCTTAAGAAGTATCTGCTGCCTTTCACTAACCACATCAGCAGTGCCCCAATTCTGAATGGTCTATGGGTTTGTACTTCTGAAGGCTTTTTGTCTTTGAATCCTGATGTTGCTGCATTGCTTTGTCTGTCCCTCTTCCTTCCAAAAAGTCCTGGCTCTATTGCCCTACTTCTTCCTTGTCTTTCTTCTGCTCTTCCTCTGCCCCTTTCAAATATGTCTTGCTCACATTTTTCAGAGACTCCGTCTCTCACTCAGGCAAGGTGGGGATTTTATCTTAGTGCTCAATCCTCTCCCTCTACTGTGTGATCGCTCGCAGCACAGATATATGTGGCTGCATCATTGTATGTCACATTCTTGATCGTCATCACAGAGTAATCATTACTGTCTCTGGTAATGTAAAACTTGGCCTCGCTGTAACCTTCTTCATAAGAGTTCTTCATCCATGAAGCAATACTGGCTACTAACTTCAGTCCATGTCTTGGAGGATGCTGGTACCAGTACATATAGGCAAGTGTGGTATAATTCTGGTAGCAGGAGATGTCAACAGTCTCTCCAGCTCTCTTAAGGGTTATTTTTGGCCACTGCATGATGAGGCTTCCAACCCCATCACCTGCATGAGTGAGAGAGAAGAAGAGAAAGTGAGAAGAAATACAGATGATAGCCAAAAAGGGTCCTTTACCTCACAACAGCCTTGTATGGCCTGGATAAGAGCCATGCTGCAGATGGATCTGTTGTCTCTCACCAAGTAAAAGAGCAAGCAAAACAGTCAGCATGGCCCGTCAGCTGTCCCAGAACACTGTGTTACTGATCATTGTGAGTTAAGAGAGAAGAGGCTGGAGAGACTGATGCCCCTCCCCTTGTTTTGATTTTTCCGTCAAGCTTGGGCAGAGAAGAGAGAAGGGACAGTCAAACCTTGATACCCTCTTTGGTGAACCATTAAAAGCAAAACAAAGTACTCATGTGGCTGTAAGTTTTACTTTAGGCTTTCCACAGGACAGGCAGTGTTCATAGCTCCTGACAAAAAAAGTGGGATTGCTTGCAGACCAGTATGTTGCTGGCTGGATGTTTTACTGTCTGTGCATGTCTGGGTATAGGATCTGTCAGCCATGAACCCGGAAATCTTGATCTCAAAAATTATTTTTTTACTTATTTACACATGTGGATATAGCTTGGGCTGCCTTTCCAGAAGGCTTTATTCCAGTAAATGTAAGCATATATTTTTTCATTCTGGAGAGGTGCTCTAAATACCTGAAAGACGATACCTCACAACTCAGAACTTACATCGGATGGAAGCAAAGATAATAGACCAAGATAGCAGAGGCACAAAACCCATTTTGAATCACTTTTTGATTTCTTCAGTTTTCCAGTTAGGGAAGTATATTCCCTGCAAGTGAATCTTCCTGGGAGTTCTAATTCAGTTCCTAGTTACAAAAGGCAAGGCATCTCTGCCAGCCGTTTTTTCTGAAAGCAAAAACTGTGATTGGACATTAGCTTCATGAACAGTCTGTTTTTTCTAGTGTGCCAAGTACTTCCTAGTTAGCCTTGACTTAAATTATACCACTCTATTATTTTCTGAATATTTAAGATTCAAAAAAACTTATATTATTGTAGCTGATTCTTTTCTTGCTAGTTCTGAAATGTACATATTTAGTTTCAATGATCTTCTTCAGTAATCCTGATTGCATCTTCCAAACAGTAATTTTGTTTATATTCCCCTCTCCCATATTTGCCTGAAGGTCTGGAGAAATTCAGATTTTCCCTTGACCTTAAATATTTGTTGAAGTGCCATGTTCTGTCTGTGATCCTGGTGATACTGTAATTTCTCTGGGCCTAAGGCCCTGAGTTCCTAGGGTCATACCAGGATTGGAAGTGTGTGTGAATCTCAAAAAATTTGGTAATGAAAGTTCCTTGTCTCACTTTTTTAATCCTACTTTTTTAAGAAGTTAACAGAAATTACCTGAGAAGATACAGCTTCTTCCCAGATGGGAAAGAAAATATATTCTATATGATGTATAAAATTTTTTCATGATCTCCAGTGTTGTGGACAATTGGCATAGAAGAAGTAGGGTTTTGACCATCGCTCCCATTCAGCCCCTGTCAGTTCTTGCCACTGCAGGTTTTCTCAGGAGGAATTATGCCTTACCTGTGCTCCAGCAAGGTTGAGCCCTCTGCTGGATGAAGTACAGTTTCAGTGACTTGTCAAGGAATTGTAGACAGTGCAGAACATTTTTTTTTAAATTACCTTCTGTATCTTTTACATTTTTCTTTGAATTTTTATCCTGCTTTTAAAGTCAATACAGCAGTTAGCAAATGGGTTTAACCAAATTTAATATGCCTTTATATTCTTTTATGGTTTTCACACAGATTATCCTTGGATGCATATTTTTAGCATTTACTTCCCACAACCTGTTCTTTTTAATCTTTCATGGAAGTTTTGTCTTGATTTTGCTTGTTCTCCATCTGAATCTATTGACATTTTGCCTTTTCACCTTATTGCTAGGATGGAACACCTTGAGACACTTCCATAGGCTGTGTTGAGACAGTTCCATGGGACACTGCTGCTTTGAGGAATGTCTTGTGAATGGAGACACTGCAGATTTTTTAGTTTAATTATTGTCTTTCATGCTGGACATGTTAGAAACTTTTTTGACCTCAAGTTCTGGAGGAAGAAACTATTTCAGAGACTTGATGGGAAGTAAAACAGACTACGGAGACTGTGGGAATTAATTCTAAGATTACGCTGTGTAAGAACTCTAAGACAAGGAGAATTAATTTCAGTGCAGCTGGGCTGCACATTCTTCTCTAGTCACACGTGTTAGAATTTATTACTCATTCCAGGATGAAGATTTTTATTCAGAGTAACTTTTCTGTCTCAGGAAACAAAAAATGATTGTACACTCTTCGAAGGAAGGAAGTATCTGAAAGATGTAACTCAGGCCCTCTAGTGTGTCTCTTGGGAGTTGCCTAACATGTTGCTGCCTTCTGAAGAGTAGCTAGATTGACAACCCTTCTGCTTTTCAGTTAAAACATCTAATTCTTTCGGTCTATTTTCTTTTTAGATTAAAGAAGAAACAAGGGAAAACAAAGAAGTACCAAAATAAAGGCAGGTATGGTCAAGCTTCCTGAATCAGACCCTGAACTACTGGATTTGGGGAAGAACAGACATAGGAAAATAGAGGAATAAAGTTATAGAAGGGGCCAGTCACAGGTAAACAGGCTGCTGATCAGTATGCTTGCCTGTCTATGCCTTGTGCCTCCTTAGCTCAGTGTATGTCTCATTAAATTCCATTTCTAAGTAATTCCCTGAGGGAGGGACTGTCTGTTCTGTGTGCATGTGTTTTGCATATGGAGGTCCAAGTGCTAGTCAGGTAAGAGTGGCCGTGTGTTAGTCATGCCAGCAGCTGGGGCCAAGGAGGGTATGTGAGTGTGGGGTGCTCACTTGTGAGCGTGAAGGCAGACTTCACTGGCAAGTAAGTGAAGTGATCTGGGTTCCAGGTGCATGTCTGTGTTTCTAACAGCAAGACCAGGGGGAGGTGGCAACCAGAGGGAGCTGTTGTGGTTTTGGCCAGATTGGCCTAAACCAGAATGACAGATGGTCCTTGCCCTACCCCACCCACCACCCTACCCCTCCTCCGAAAGAGGAGAGGAAGAGATAAGGAGATTCATAAGTTTAGAATGAACTAAACTAATATTAAACAATTTTTTTAAAAGGAAATATTGAAATAGATACAATGTATACGAAATGTTATCAAGCTCCCAAGACGACGTCACTGGCAGGCACTGGGGAAGTCCCACACTAAACTCAGTGATGGATGGGAACTAAATTCCAGCGGTGGACTCAGGAACACATGGATTGGAATCAAAGGCAGATGAACAGACAGGGTCCTCTTCAGACATCAGCCATTGAAGAAAGAGAGCTGACCCTTTGATCCCACAGCTTTTATACTGAGCATGGGGCTGATGGGATGGAATACCCCTGTTGGTCAGGTTTGAGTCATCTGTCCTGTCCACTCCTCTACCCAGGTGGGATCACACTATGCTTTTTTCCATTTCCGACCCTCCAACGGGGCAAATAATGAAATTAACTGACCTTGATTGTTATAGCAACAAGTATAAGCAAGAGCATCTCTGAATAATATTCCTTGGCATGAAGTACAAACATTGGTCTTATCACTCCGAAAATGAGCAGTTTTCTCCACAATATGCTGTTAATTTCAGAGAGTTGAAGGAGTCCTAACTAATATGTAAAATTACTGAACAGAAAGTTGGTTCTGTCAAACCAGGACAGGAGCAGAAGGGTCTCAAACACCTATTGCAGTGAGGGTGGGGTGCATTTGTGTGTGCGTAACAGCAATTGGAGTGAGGCTGCAGGACTTGGGTGCTGTGGTGATTGGGATCCAGGGGCACCTACTGGGCAAACTCGGTGTCTAAACAGCTATGGAAAGGATGCACATTGTACATATATATACATATATTTCCCACTATTGAACCCTCATCCATTTCAACCAGAGAGGGACACAAGATGAGACCATTGGTGCTGTTTCTGATCATTTTTGTGGCCCTCATCTGGATTCACTCCAACAGGTCCATGTCTTTCCTGTGCTGAAGGCTCCAGAGCTGGACACAGTACTCCAGGTGGGGTCTCACCAGAGAGGAACAGAGGGACAGAATCACCTCCCTTGAGCGGCTGGCCATGCTTCTTTTGATGCAGCCCAGGATACAGTTGGCTTTCTGCGTGATGAATGCATATTGTCAGCTCATGTCCAGCTTTTTACTCACCAGTATCCCCAAGTCCTTCTTGGCAGGACTACTCTCAATCCTTTCATCCCCCAGCCTGCATTTGCTCTGACCCAGGTGTGGGACCCTGCACTTGGCCTTGCTGAACCTCATGAGGTTCACACAGGCCCACTTGTCAAGCCTGCCCAGGTACCTCTGGATGTTATCCCAACCCTCAGACACGTCAACTGCACCGCTCAGCTTGGTGTCATCTGCAAACTTGGTGAGGGTGCACTCAGTCCCACTGTCTATCTCACTGGTGAAGATATTGAACAGTACTGGTCCCACTACAGACACCAAATGTCACTGATCTCCATCTGGGCATTGAGCCGCTAACCACTCGCTCTGGATGTGAACATCCACCCTTATCCACCGAAGAGTCTGCCAATCAAATCTGTAACTCTCCAATTTAGATAGAAGGATGTTGTGGGGGACTGTGTCAAAGTCCTTGCAGAAGTCCGGATAGACAGACAATTCCTAGAGAAATCCTTCCTCCTCAGGCTTGTCGTCTCAGATCCCTTGCCCAGTCAGACCCGTGCTGCTCCTTTCACACCTCTCATTCCCAACCAGTCCCTTTCTGATCCAGCCACTTCTGGTTGTCTGGTGCAAGTTCCCCTTCCTCATCCCTTCTATTTCACTGTGACAGCCTCATTGGCTCCTCACTAAACTCCTTCCCCAGCCTTTTCGGACCACCTAACTTTCCACCTCACCACCTTTACACTTTTTCCAGTCCCTCTTTGACCTCCTTTTTCTTTCCCAAAGTCTCCATACTGTATTGCAACAGCAAAGAGGAAGTTTCTTGGTTTGGAGATGTTAAAATTGCCCAGTAGTGGCCCAGTTTACACAGGTTTGGGGTGCACAGACCCTTCAGGGAAAGTTTTTCTGACTGTTCTCTACAGATGATATGCTGATGAGGTGGATTAAATAAATAGTTTAAAATCTGACCTCCCCCATTTGCTATGTCCTTGCAGTGCCCTTCCTTTCCTTTCTGGTCCAGCCATTTCCTGAAGATTCCTGGGATACAGTCTGTTTCCCACCTCAAAGGCTGAGGCTGTATATCCACTTCTGGCTGCATGTAGGACCACTGTTCTCAAGAATTTCCTTCTCTTCCTTTCTTAACCAATCTTCCATGCTTTACATTGCTATGGTCACAGACTTTTTCTCCACCTGCTTGCTATTATTTTCCTTTCCTTAGCAGCAGTCTCTGTTACCTGTTACTCAGAACAGGAGCTTTCAGTCACTGGAGAACTTTAGGGAAATTGGCCGCTGGAATACCAGTAAAAATTAGGTTTCATCTTAGGACTCAGCACTGTCAGTGAACACCAAGACCTGTAGACCTATATGTGAGAGCCATCCAGCAAAGGAGGGCAACCTGCATGAACAAATCTGAAGGGCACTGTTGATTGAGGCACACTGGAAGACAGTTTGGGGAACTTGCAGGCAGAACCTGGAAATGCTGCAAAACAGGTGTGAAATGTGCATGGATCTCATGAACCTGGCAGTAGAGCAGGAGAGACGTCATCAGGTATATGCAACATGCATTTGTAGAACAAGTCTTATGAGTAGCAGCTGAGAGAGCTGGGATTCCTTAGCCTTGAGAAAAGGAGGCTGAGGGGAGACCTTATCACTCTCTACAACTACCTGAAAGAAGGTTGTAGAAACGGCCTCAAGTTGTGCCAGAAGAGGTTTAGATTGGATGTTAGGAAAAAATTCTGCAATGAAAGGGTTATCGAGTATTGAAACAGACTGCCCAGGGAAGTGGTGGAATCACCATCCCTGGAGGTATTTAAAAGATGAGTAGGCGTAGTGCTTAGTTACATGGTTTAGTGATGACATTTGTCAGTGTTAGGTTGATGGTTGGACTCAATGATCTGAAAGATCTCTTCCAACCTAGACAATTCTATGATTCTGTGATACTTACAGCAACTGCTCATTGTGTTTCCTCATCTTGACAAAGGCATTTGGAAATCATATTTAGGATCGTGAATGATTAATGCGGCACTCCTGACCAGTCCACCGTCTTCCTTCACACCAGTGTTGTAGTCTCCCAGCCTCACTTGCATATGGCTGCAAAATTACCAGCAGAGAAGAGCAGCAGTCAACCATGGTTAGAACAATTTTGTACCACAGGACAGACACTTGGAAGAGAATAAGGGAGTGTTTCCCTAATCAAAGATATTTGTGTCACAGAGCTCTAGGAGCTCTATGATTTCATGAAAGACAGAATCTGGAGATCCTTGCTAGTTGGGCATCCTGTCCAGTGGATCCCCAGCTGGAAACTGTGGCAAAGGTGCGAGTATAGATGGATCACTTCAGATACCTAGAGCAATGGTGAGGGAAGGAAGTTTACGCTTCCTATTGCAGCGGAGCATGATCCTTGATCTGTGCTCTCTCTGCAGAGGTATGACCTAAATTCAGGACAAGAAAGATCCATGGAGAAAGTCTGGAAGAATCAAAAAGAACATTATAGTAATGTTAATCCATATGGACATACAAATGTGCAGAGAAAGGCATGTTAGGATGCACAGAAAAGGATGCCAAGAGTGCAGGAATATTAGAAAGATCATGTAATGCAGTGAGACAGAAGATAGTATTTCTCCTTTGGTTTCAGATACACCATACACTGCCACCTTGGATTCCCTTCTTTTTGCTAGGTGCCATATTCCAAATCTGGTGGCCTTGCAAGATTTGGCTAGAATCCAGATGCACAACACAATCCATACTTATGATTTCTAGCAGTGAGCACCCAACAGGACTCACTGGTTGCTGATGAGTTAACTGCCACAGAAGTGATACCCAGCGTACAAGGACACTGGTAGGAAACTGAATACTCTGGGCAACTGTAGCCTCCCACAATCTTGTCATTGTCAGCATCCCCAGGAAAAGCAACTGAGAGAAAGAGGATTGAGTTTCACAGCATCAGGTCTGAATCCATTTTCTTAAAGTGTAACAGCAGCCAATGAGCTACAGAGGAATTAGCTAGACCCAAATGAGCGTGAAACTTCGGAAGTCTTCACAGCAGCTCTTGAATATCCTCCTGAATTCTATCTGTGCTGGTCTGAAACAGGAGACTTTGTCCTTACCACCCTGAGAATGAAATGTGTGCAGCCTTCACACTGGCACCTTCACTTCCATGGCACCTTTGAAACAGGATGCAACAGCTGTGTCATGGTGGAAAGCACAGGGTGCACATATGTGTAGGCTAAGAAATGGAAAACTGGCAAATTCAGTTCAGAATGTCAGCAGAATTTTAATTTGCTGGGAGGAAGCCAGGTGCGAGCAAGAGTGGAAGGAAACAATGATAGTGAAGAAATCAGAGAGAACATGAGAGGCTTTTCAGAGCTGGAGGCTGATGTTATAGCAGAATAGAAGGTATTTGTTGAAACCACTAGAAGAGTGCTTTCCAAACATTTCTGATAGTGCACACCTACCAGTAAAATATTTTTGAGCATGCACCCCCAATGTACGTATATTCAGTAATTGATGACTATATATATACAATATTGAAGTTCTAATGTTTCCATCCCACACCCCAGTGCATCATCTTGTGCTCTCCCATGGGCACATGCACCCCACTTTGAAGACCGCTGCACTGGAAAATCATAAACCAGGAGCCTGCCTCAGATCATCGATTGAAGATGCAAAGAGCAGAAATGTAAAACCCTTCCGCAAACACTCTCCTCAACTCCAGCAACTGGGGACTTAATGTTCGTAGGTCAGATGCGATGTCTTTCAACCAGGTCCTCCCAGGTAAAGAGAGAGACCTGGGAAGAGAGAATCAGTGGTTCCTCCACCACCAAGCTCTGTGAGATGTACAAGGACTAGCCTCAGAACTCCTCCACTTCATGCTCCTGGGAAGCTCTAGCTCTGTCAGCACATGGTCTCACCACCTTTCCCTTTCCCAGGACCTTGCATCAGCCTGGCCAAATGTATTTACTTTACCTGAGTCCAGTGATGATAAAGCTGACTGACATACTTGAACTAGGAACATGGGTTTCTGAAAAAACAAGCTACCATTGCTTGGCCATTGATAGTATCTAACACGGCTGCTTTCCACTCACCAATTCTCCTCCTTCCCTTGCCCCTGGAGCTCCCAGCATTCTGCTGCAACATCTTTGCATTAAATGAGAGACCTGTTTGTACCTGGAGATGTATCCCTGGCATGTATTTTCTGAAAGACCCTGAAAAAAACCTTGCAATGTGTCTGTGGAATGTTCAGCAGCGTTGAGCAGAAGAGGGTATTTACATTTCAGGTAGGGATTTGTCATCTTAAAGAAAGGAAGGAGAAACAGGAGGAGGGGTTCTAATTTCAACCTGTTCCTCCTTCACAGAGTTCTCACTGAAAGGCCTGGAGGACTATTTGGAAGCATTGTCTGCTGCATGACCCCTGAGTTGTGCATCACAAACACCCCTTTTGCCTTCATCTGAGATCAGTTTGCTCCATGAGCTGCCCTGCTGGCACACAGCCCCGAGCTCTGGGATTCACAGGAGCCTCTAGATGTTTTGGACAGATAAGTTATAAATCCACAGGGAGATCAAATCATACACTTTTGTAGATTAGGAATTCCTCTTGCTCTGCTTAGTTATGATGGGATTAGATAGGTTTGGTAAATTTTGCCATGCAGAGTCCTAGTGAGCCTCTTTCCCCTTTCCACAGGAAGCTTCTAATCCGTAGTTGTTTCTCAGGACGAACCATGTGTGTATGAAAACTGTGCACTGATATCAGTTTCAAGCCCAGGACAAGTCAGGCAGCTCCTTGGAGGAGTCCCTTGGCCTTGGGCTTCTCCTGTAACATGAAGGAAAACTTCCATCTGGACAGTGCCACTCCGTGTACCAGTCTTCCAGCACTCTCCAAAAATTGATCAAGAAATGGAGGAGAAAGATGATTCCAATTGAGTCTCTTATGCTATGTCATCATTTCAAAGCACATGACTTCTGTTTCCAGTCACTTAGGGGTACCCCATGTCTTTCAGGGGCCAGCATGATGATGTCAGTAGCTGATTGGAAAACAATCATTCGCCAAATGCATTAAGCTTTAGCAAATTCAGCATCATGAGAGAAATGATCCATAAACATCAACAATTTACTGACATTCTTCTGTGGTAAAAATGTGTATCTATAGAACATTCCAAAGCTAAATAAAAAAAATGTGGTTTGGTACTTAGTCCAATATTATCATATGGATTAGGTGAGAGAAATGCTTTCAAAGAGATGTGGTGAGAATTCACACATTTTAACTATTTAACTTAGCCGGGGGAGCAGGAACAAAATGGTTTTGTCATTCTCATTGAAATTACTTTTAAATAATTTTGTTTGGGAAAACACTGTGTTCTATATGATAAAAACACACACGCAGACATTACTTAGGAAAATGAATTTGCTAAAACAAAATTAACAAACAACACTGAGAGCATTTGGGTTTCTTTTGCTTTGTTTTGTTTTGTTTCAAAATCAAGGTATAGTATCTTACTGTTGAGGGTTGCTCTCAACAGGTGCTGCACATATGAATGAGACAAACAAACAACTTCACATCTTCCAAAGCCAAAATGTATTTTTAAATTGAAGGCTACCCTCTGACGTCATTTAAAATAGCTCTCTATCTTAGAAAAGTTTTATGATTAACTGATACGGTTTTTATGCTTTCTACCAGTGCCTGTTAATGACCACATTTGGACCTTCCAATTTTCCACTGTGTACTTTTTGCCTGGAGAAAACCTTGGACTAGAGATAAGGCCCTTTCAGAAAAGGTATTTCTAGCAGCTCCCACTGACACTCTGCCACTCTGGTCCTGAGGCTGAGGCAAGATCATGAAACTCATACTGTTTCTCGCCTTTGTCGGAGTGGCTGGTGAGTACGGATTTTAATTCTGTTTTTGTAATTTCTAAGGAAGCGCATTCTCTGAGAAAATTTCCAGGGTAGTCTATTGTGGAAAGGGAAGTCTGCGTTCACCTTGCAACACTTTTAAGGCAGAGCACTGCCACTTCTTCTGGCTAGGTCTGCTCATAATTGCTTGTGTCACAAAATGGGGAATGAATGCCCTCAAAGGAATTCTTGAGCCAGGAATACTGAAATGAGTCCACAAAAATAGGGACTATCAAGTATAAAAGTAACACACCTCTGGACCAGGAAGTCCTAAAGCTGCTGTAAAGTTTTGGACTATGAGCGAGTCCTTGCCCACCACTGATATTGCGAGTTTTTAGAGAAGTCGAGCCTCCAAGGGAGATGCTTCAGTCAGTCACAGGGGCACGGGATGCCTTATGCCAGATGTTGACATATGCCACTTCTTGTCTCCCAGTTGCCCTCCCCCTCAACGCTGATGGTGATGATGACAAGATCGTGGGAGGCTACACCTGTGCAGAGCACTCTGTCCCCTACCAGGTGTCCCTGAACGCCGGGTACCACTTCTGTGGAGGTTCCCTCATCAACAGCCAGTGGGTCGTGTCGGCTGCTCACTGCTACAAGTCGTGAGTGCAAACTGTTATATTCTTCCCTAACCTACTTCTTGCTTCCAGTTCACTTCTAGCAGGAATTCTGAGCTGTGAGATCCAACTCTGTGAGTGACTTTGTTCTGAGAGGGGACAGCCAAGGAATGGGTGGCTCGTTCAGGAAGCTGGGCTGAGGCATCATGAGGGCTTTTTTTAACTTTGGCAAACATTGGTCTGAATGCAGAGCATTTTCTCAAATGACAATGCCATAATCTAGCAATGAGTTACAGGCTGTGATTTCTTATACATAGCATTAAAATAAAATTACTACAGTTTATTGACTGGAGAACAGGAAGGGAAGTGAGGTCAGGGTGACAGCAGTTTACCTCTTTCCAGAAGGTTTGTATAAAGCACGGTTATGAATTCAACTTATCCCAGCTCAGCCAAAGAAACCTGCAGAAATTCACCACCTGCACTGGGAGTGGGTAGGATCTCAGGGTCATACCCTGAGACCAGGATCCCCAGCACTTATTGCAGGACCATAAAGAGAACCTTCATGAAAACAGCTCCTGTGATAGCGATGTGGAAGCGAGTGCAGAGGGTGACGGGGAGGTTCTCCAGACCCTGTCAGTGTCAGTAAAGTGTATGCATTCCTTCTTTTTTCCAGGCGCATCCAAGTGCAGCTCGGGAAACACAACCTGGAACTCACAGAATCGACTCAGCAGTTTATTAACTCGGCTAAAGTCATCCGCCACTCTGGCTACAGCGCCTACACACTGGACAATGACATTATGCTCATCAAGCTTTCCACACCAGCTCAGCTCAACAGGGCTGTCCAAACCATTCCTCTGCCTACCAGCTGTGTGACCACAGGCACCATGTGCCTCATCTCTGGCTGGGGCAACACCCTCAGCAGCGGCAGTGAGTATCTGTGGGGATGGATGTACAGCATGGTGAGGGCCAGGAGACACCCTGAGACCTCCCTTAACTCCAAACAGTAGAGGGTAAAGCACAGACAGGTGCTGTGGGACAGGCCTTTTGCACTCATCAGTCTCTGTAGGACAGTAACCATTGAACTGCCCAAAAGGAAATCTCTATAAGGTCCTTCCTCTTGTTCTGTGGGACAAACATGGACTCACTTAAGTCAGCCATGTGCTGTTCACCAGCATCTTCATGCCATCATAAATGTTATGGCCTTGCACTATCAGCTGTGCAGCACCAAGCATGAGCAATTTCACTCATGGCCATAGAGTTG